AACTTAAACCTCCAAACCACTTCTTGTGAGCCTAGCAATCCTCACAAGTGCATCCATAACTCAATAGTGCACGATGAAGCGTTTACCATGTGTCAGGAGTGTGTGTATGATTTTAATATAATCTAAAGAAAAACGCTTTGGAATTTGTTAACACATAGTATGAAAGAGGTGAGTGTTGTTGTTGTCATCTGCCGAGCTATGGCGTGTGCAAATCATTCTTTTTTCGTTCAAAAAGAACTTTTTAGTGACTTAATAGTTTCCCATCTCAGTATGGATTGTAAAACCATTTCGGATGTTATCTCAAGCGGCTTTTGTATACTTTCAGTTTGAAGATAAAAAAAATTTGCAAACACAACTATGAGTTGAAAACAACAATAAGTAAATATTGACGCATACTGCTTTGAGCGTAGTCTGCAACACAACCGTTTTTAGTGTCGTCACGCAACTCTCCTCCCCACAAATGGCTGCTGAGATTCGGACCACATTCCTTTCCCTTTGTGTTTGTGGTCTAACGAACAAACCAATAATGTATAAGAAACTTGACAATACGTGAGCCGCAGGGCGCTAGGAAGCGAACACGCTTCTCAATTTTCGACAAATCAATCAATCGTCGCTGAATTTGGACGGGCTCTGTGTCTTCAAGTAACGGAACGGTTAACAAAGTTCCAAGTGAAAAAAGGTTTGATAGCCCCTCAGACTCTTACCAGGATCAGTTGGTTCTTTTTATCGTGCATATGCATGATGAATTTCATGTGCCGAATGTGCTCATTGTGTTGCTGTACATGTGAAGACTAAACTCTCAAGGGTACTGAGTCAAACAAAAGCAACATTATAAATTAGCGATGAACGATTCGCAAAACTATTCACAACACTCATAATGATATGCGAGGTTAAAATAATTCAATAATGGGTTCTTTCATGGCTAGTCTAGCGGTCTCACGTGCGATTACGTAATTACCGATAATAAATTCTGGTTTGGCGCGAAAATAAACCATTCTTGCTCAGTTTTTCAGCGGAGCCGCGAAGAGCTGGTCTCTTTTCTTTTGGAAGATACGACCCACGCGATTTTCTTGACGATTTCCTGATGGCTGAGGGTCAACCTCCGGAGCCGAACGTTCAGTTACTTGTCGATCCTGTGGAGCCAGTCGTGAATCCACCGGTCGTGAACCCGCTAGTTGTGAATCCGCCGGTTGTGAATCCACCGGATGGCAACCAGAATGTTAATGTCGCTCAGCCTCAGGAACTGGAAGTAGTTCTCTTTTAGTTGTTATGAATTCTTTCGTGGCATATTTCTCTTGTCTGTCGTATCTTTCAGGTTCTTCACACAGCATGGTGGAGAGAATAACGGAGAGCTTTGGCCCGATCGCGGCCTGTTATCGAAATCTTTTCGGAAGATTGTCGGGCTATTCCGCGTGGCTAGTTAACGAACTAGCGTTCGGCGTCTGGCTTGTGGCTGGAGGAACGCCGTGGATTCGCTTATTTTGTATTTCTTTCGGCCTTTTTGGTCGTTGGATGGTTACAAAACCGTACGAGCGAGGTGGCCGATTTGTTCGGCGGTGGCTAGTTGACGGATTAGCGATCGGCGTCTGGCTCTTGGCTAGAGGAACGCCGTGGACTCGCTTGTTTGTATTTTCTTCGGCCTTTGTGGTCGTTGGATGGTTACAAACCGTACAGGCGAGGTGGCCGATTTGTTCGGCGGTGGTTGGTTGACGGACCAGCGTTGGGCGTTTAGCTTTTAGCTAGAGGAATGCTGTGGACTCGCTTATTGTACAAGCGACGTGGCCGTTTTGTTCGGCGGTGACATCTAGCTTTTGGCTAGAGAGACGCCGTGAATTCGCTTATTTGTATTTTCTTCAGCCTTTTTGCGGTCGTGGGATGGTTACAAATGGTGACAGCGAGGTGTCATTTGTGTTTTGTCTTTTCCTTCGGCTGATGTGGCCTTTGGATGTTTGTTATGAGTTATGATAATGGGTCATCGTTAATTGTTGAACGTTGCTAGGTCGTCTTACTTGTATTTTCTCCTTTGGCTGTGCCTGCCGAAGGATGTTTATACATGGTAACGCGAGAAGTTACGTGATGTTTTTGTTTTTTCACGAGGCCTGTAATGAGGTTTTTTATGCATAACACTAAGTGCTTCGCACATTGAGGTGGGCGGTGATTAAGAGTCTCTTTGTTCCTTTGCAGAGATTGCGTCAGGAGGTGAGACAGTTAAAGCAGTCAGTGGAGGCAGTAACCAACGCGTCGCCTGAGAAGCTCGTGGAACAGATCTTGGCTTATGCTTCCCGCCCGTTGACAGAGTTTAACAAGTATGAGGTGCTTGAGATGTTGGAGACTCTGCATAACAAGGCCGCTGACCGTAATCATGACAGGAAGAACTACTCTCGGCTCGTTCATCAGTCGGCGAGGGAAAAGGTGGAGTTGTCGAAGGACCACTTCAAGGACCTTGTTATGCGCCTATTAGGAGACAAGGACCACGAGAGGGTCCTGGATATAGTTTCTAAAGTAGAAAAGAAGTCAAATCGCAAGAAGCCTCAAGCGAACGACAACAGGGGTGCTGGTGTGGCACGTCCGTCTCGTCTTTTTTCTTTGCGATGTTATTTTTGTCATAGGCGAGGTCATATCAAAGCTGATTGTCCTGATTTGAAGTCCAAGCAGAGGAAAACGGATCCCAAATCAGACAAGTAGCTTGTGTTAGATCTCGTTAGTTCGCACCGGTGTTATAGGTTGAAGGCCGCCTGGACAAGGCTGTGTGTTGTAATATTGCTTAATTCTTTGCGATAATAAACAAACTTTTGTGTGTATTGAATCAATCTAGTGCATATTTTACTCTGTCTATTTTGTCAACATAGTTATAACGACTTTGAAAAAGGGGTATCCTTGAGACAAGGGCCCTCCAGCCTCGCTGGTCTTAGCTGTTATTTCTCTGCTGACTTTGACGGGGATGATTTTAATATGGTCTTAGATTTTTCGGCGATTCAGTGCTTAAAGGTGTCTTCACTACCCCTTTTTCCTAGGGAAACATGTGGTGTTGGGAAAAATCTGACTCCTTTGGTCTTCGACTTCAGGAGTTACAAGGCAAACAAATTGAGCTTCCAATGTCCTGGGTCGATTGTTTCGGTAACCCCGTCGAGGTCAGTGGAGAAGTGACAGCCTGTGACCGTGTTAGATTACAGAGAATACAGAGGGGAGAGTTAATTGGTGATATTTCGGAGTTATTGTTCCGTGACCCACATTGTTTTCGAGCTGGAGAATTGCATAACCATTTCGAGTATTGGCAGTACATTGCGCGAGATAACTCGTCACCCCAACAGGCACAGATTCTTGGGTGGATAAGGGACAAGGTCTCGATTAAGCCGTTTTTCAAGCATTTTAAAGGAAGTTTTAAAGGAGAATTGTTCGATTCAGACGAGCCTCCGATGAAGGTGTTTAAGAACAATGTCTCTTGCAAGCCCTTTGTGTCATTTGTGGAGGAAACGTTAGTTGCGCGCTTGAGATCTGGAGCTATTTCGCTGTTGGGGAGAGTGGGTGTGGTTGACCGTCCATTTATTGTTCTTCCCCTTACAGTTGAGCCAACAAAGCCAAGGTTATGTCACGATGCGCGCTATCTTAATTTATGGATGCGTGATATGCCTTTCTCTTTAGACAGGCTGATAGATTTACCGCGTTACGTGGGCAAGGATACCTACCAAACGGTCCTAGATGATAAGTCTGGCTATGACCATATTCTTCTTTCTGAAGACAGCCGCACGTATTTTGGGATCCAATGGGGAGGGTGGTATTTCACGTATAATACCCTTCCTTTTGGGTGGAAGATCTCCCCGTTTGTATATAATACTACTGGCCTGTTGGCTAGTAATTTCCTTAGAGCTACAGGAATCCCTTGTTTGCTCTACAACGATGATCGACACAATGGCGAACTGCAGGTGGCACTCGATAAGGGGGAATACGCTACTATTAACACTGTTGATGATCGTCATCTTGCGGCGGCTAGGTCGGCTATATTTCTTGTTGCTTACCATCTTGTCAGCTTGGGCTATTTCCTTGGTTTGCAAAAGTCAATATTGTTCCCAAGTAAAGTGGTTCCCTACCTTGGTTTTTTAGCGGATTCTTCTAGGGAGGTGTTCTGCTTAAAGCCGGAAAAGAAGGAGAAATTCTTGCAACTTGTCCGTGAAATACTCCATGCCTCTAAGGTTACGGTGAAAACCTTGCAACGCCTGGTTGGGAAATGTGTCTCGTTTAGTCTAGCAGTACCTGCAGCCCAGTTGTTTACGAAGCAGATGAATGCAGCTATTGCCGGTGGCCAACGTACTCCCCACAGGCTAATACCCATCAGGGGGGGTCTGCGTGAGGAGATCTCCCATTGGCTGTTTTTGGAAGGTTGGGATGATCCGGTAACATGGCGGGATGAGCGTCATATTCGTGTGTCCGTTGCAACTGATGCTTCCGCATCAGGCTGGGGTGCTATTTTGTTAGCCCCTCATCGTGAGGAAATATCAGATTATTGGACGGAAGAGCAGTGCAAATGGGGGATCGCCGCGAAGGAAGCTACTGCGGTCGACATGGCGTTAATGGCTTTTAAAGACAAACTGTTCAATGCTAGAGTTGATGCTTTTGTTGACAATAAGGCCGTTGTCGAGGCTTGGAACAACCAGGGTGGTAGAAGCTTGGAGCTTAATATGGCATTGAAACGGCTTTTCTTCACAACGTCGAAGCTTAGCTTATCTCTGCACATGTCTTACATTCCGACTGGTCAGAATCCTGCTGATGCTCCATCAAGGCGCCTGTCCCACTCAGATAGTAAATTGTCGGATGGCTTGTGGCAGATTGTTCAGAAGGAGTTTGGTGGTAGGGAAGGCCATACTTGCGACCTTATGGCCTTGGATTCGAATAGTATGACGGATGCGCACGGGTATTTTCTCCCTCATTTTACGCCGATTCCCTCTCCCGGATCGTCTGGTGTAAATCTCTTCACACAGGACCTTGCTTCCCTCTGAGCGCTTATGGCCAGACCGTATGTTTTTCCTCCCATGGCTTTAACGGGACCTGTCTTTAAATTTCTGCAGAGTTTTAAACAGTCGTGTACAGTAGTGGTGCTGGACGTGTTTCCCAAGAAGTACTGGTGGCCTCTCCTTATGAATAAAGCTGTAAAGAGTAGATGACTGGCTGTTCGTGGCGATGGCAACGCTCTCTTGGTCCCGTCCAAAAAGGGGTGGCTGCCTCACAAGGGCATTCCTGGAGATCTCTGGGTTTTTGCAGTGTGTTTTTAGGTGTGTCTTGGCATACATTTTGATCTGTTGTGCTACTGGTTTGTGGTGTATGATAGGGTTCTTCTTTTCTGGTTTGTAGGAGCTTCCAGTCATGGCAAAGCTGTTTGTTCAGTCGGTTAAATGCCCAACCTGTGGACACGCTAATGATTTTGACTTCCGTTTTTGTCAACGTTGTGGCTACAAGCGAAAGGTTATGACAACGCTTGTCAAGGAACACTCTGATGTTATCGTTGACCTTGATGGAATTGAAGTGCGGTTGCAGCAGTTACTTCACTACGATCAGGCAACCAGTTATAAAAAGCAGAAGGAGTCTCTTCAGAGGGAACTTGAGGCTTTTCTTGGTGCCCTGCCGGGTTTTGTTACTCTCGCGACAGTGACGCCTAGGGACTTGTGTCGCTTCCTGATCTTTAAAGACAAGCGTGGCCAAACACAGGTACACCTCAATACGTGTGAATTTTTGGGTCAGCGTGGTAAACAGTCATGTGGCTGCCCCTTGAGATTGTCGTACAAGACTGTGGACTCTTACATAGGAAAGTTAAGATCGATTTTCCATTCCATTGGTCGGGACGGAGAGTGGGACAAGCGGCTAGGTCTTGGTAACCCAGCCTCTGATAAATTGGTTAAAGATTACCTTCGTCTTGTCACCGCGGAGCAGTTACAGGCCCGTGTTACTCCAAAACAAGCCACGCCATTCTTTGTGGACAAATTGACTCAGTTATTGAAGTATCTTGAAGGCGAGCTAGCGAGATCAAAGTCGAAACTTGACCGTTTCATTATCGCACGTGACCAAGCTTATTCTAAGTTGGCGTTCTTTAGTGGGGACCGCCCAGGAGATCTTGGTCAGGAAGACGTTCCGGAGATCCTTCGTTTTCGAAATGATGATGGGTTCTTATTTAATCATATCTGGGGTAAGACTTTGCGGGATGGTGACAGTAATGTCTTTGGTGTTCGCAGAAATCCCCAGTCGGTCATCTGTCCTGTGAAGGGCGTTGAGCAATATGTCGAAGTGGCAAGGGAGTTAGGCGTTGATTTAACAAAGGGATATTTGTTTCGTCCGACAACTTCTAATAATGGTGTCCAAGATTCTCCATTTAGTTCTTCAGCAGCAGATGCGCGTCTTAAAGTGTATCTCAAGCAGATGAAAGCTGATGATGGTGAGACATTGCATGGCTTTCGTTCGGGTTGTGCGATAACGTTGGCCCTCACAGGAGCGGATCTGTCTGAGATTATGGAACACGTGGGTTGGGCTAGGAGGCATACCGCCTTATATTACCTTCAGCTGGCCAAGGTTCTGAAACATGATGGCCTGTCGGGACGACTTGCTATGCCTTCTGCTGAGAATGTGGTGGCTCCATGGCAGGATGTGAATCAGCTGAAACGTTTTGTGTGTGCTTTTCCAGCTGCTGAGCAGAGGAAACGCCCAGCAGAATGAGGATACTTTGTTTGGCTAGGGTGTTTTTGGAATGGATTATAACCTTTGTACTATCGTCTCTTTAATGAAGAGATGTTGTTATGGAAACTCATACCAGTTTAGTTTGATTATAATTGTAAACGTATAGCTGTGTCTTACCTTACTTGGGGATTAAAGTTATGAGAGAGGTTGGAGGATTGAGGATAGGGAAGTTGTAAGAGGATTTGAGAGTCGGAGTGCAATTATCTAAGACTATTTAAGGAACAGTGAGGGCTGTTGGGCGCTGATCAATCTTTTTTCCCATACCTTATTAGAACTGAGCATGAATATGAATGTATGTGAATAGAATACTATTCACAACACTCATAATGATATGCGAGGTTAAAATAATTCAATAATGGGTTCTTTCATGGCTAGTCTAGCGGTCTCACGTGCGATTACGTAATTACCGATAATAAATTCTGGTTTGGCGCGAAAATAAACCATTCTTGCTCAGTTTTTCAGCGGAGCCGCGAAGAGGTGGACGGCCCACCCAGTCCCGCCCAAAAATCGCGTGAGTCGTATCTTGAACTCTTCCTAAGCCAAGCTGTCCCAGCTTGGCTTAGTCCGCTGATCAATCTTTTTTCCCATACCTTATTAGAACTGAGCATGAATATGAATGTATGTGAATAGAATACTATACCCGGCAACTTTGTAAGCACATCAATGTTGTGCATCACATTTGTTCGACTTGCTTGCTGCTACCGGGTTATCTCGTAAATTTTGAATAGGACTCGACTACGAAAACACTACTCTAGTTTATTGCTTGTCTTCACGCCACGATTTTGATTGTTCTGTCTTTCACACATGGGGCACAGAAAAAAGCAAAGCTTTGATTGGAGGAGTCACCGTACTGCAAACGTGGCGCGAACACCTTCCAGAAAATGGGACCTGAATTCTAATAAGCTAGCCGCGGGAAAGGAAATTCAATGTGGTTCGATTCTCAGCAGCCGTTTGTGCAAAGGAGGGTTGCGTGTAGCAGACTACTTTGAGCGCGCTATAGTAATAAAATTTCAAGGTAACTGCTGCGTTGATTGTATTTTAAATGTTGTAAAACAATTGGTTCATGCTTCAGCTGTGCGCATGTCGAAAAATAAAGCACTTAGAAAGTTTGGAGAGCACTCGAGAAGCTCGAGGTGCTCTCGGCTGCTCCTCAAGCAGCTTTACTTTGTTGGCCTCAAATTGTTTACCGAGTTTTCTTGCAAGGAAAGGTGTCCAAAAGAAAGAGAGGTCCAGCTCTTACAATAGAAAAACCCAGTGATTGTTCTTATGAAAGACGAAAATCATTTCTTTGCCGATGAAAAGAGAATGTTTCATTATGGGCTGAAAAGAGCACTTTTGATGTGGGCGAGCTGGGAAGAGAAATTGGGTGCCTTAGCTAATTAAAGTTTCGTTTTGTTTATTTCAAGAGTTAACTTACGATATTAAATAGGGAGGGAAAGAGAAAAATCAAAACTTTCTCCATGATTTGGTCATTGTATAGGCGCGTAATAGAACCATAATTGAACTTGTAAATCCCTTTCAGAGAAATGGCGACTGGTTAGTTTGGAAATAATTCACTATTATACTTACATATTAGTTGTTAAGTTAGAAATGCCGTCGAGGGATCGAAAGCCAAATGTCTTGACCTTGGTTCGTATCATATATCTTTAACAAAAACAAAAACAAACAATCAATGCTGAATTCTTGCTGTATAGGTCTGTAAGTATCTTTACACTGAACGCTGTTTAATATTTAGAAAATACTTTATGATTTCAGAGTGTGGAAAGAAGCATGAAAAGGCTGTGAATAATAATTGATAAACAAAAAATATTTCTTGACAAAATAAAAAGAACAGGAAACAACCTAAAAAAAGAGGGAATTTTACAAGGATTGTATTCAAGCTTGCATTCAACCTCTCATCTGTAGGTGTTACAAATTTAAACAGTTATCAGAGGTCCTCTACAGCAAAGGAATATGGGTCTTGTATTAGTTGTGCCATATGCCGGGAAAGAAAAGAGTATTACCTTTTCATCGTTTTTCCATACTATAAAAGTCAGAAAATCTTGGGCAAAAGAAGCTGATTTCTGAATGTTATTGAGTTGTAAAAAAAATCGCCATTTAATTCAGCGTCCATAAACCAAACCGCATGCAGCAACGGTAAGTAACAAGTTCGTGGTTCTGTGGATTGTTTGTGTGCCCTGATATTTTTCGTGCCTGTTTACTGCACGATCAGCATTCCTAAGATATTATACACTTATACACTTAGAGCCCGAGGGAAACAGTTAGTTTTGTTTTCCCGAGAGTCCTGATGTTTCCAGAGACTGGTTTCCCGATTGACCTGACATTAAGTGTTTTGTTATATTTCTAGACTTTCAATTCAACGTACTTCAACAGCAACAAAAGAATATGCTTTAGCGGAGCGAATCAAAACAGTCGACTCGGTACTTATAAGAACATAGATTTATTCTCAAAACCACTACATGAATGATGTACAAAGTACTTTCCTTATGTTATCTGTATCTTTTTCTTCCACTAGCTGCTGTTTCTCTTCTCGGATAACTTTAAAAATCGTTGCTTTTTAGCTTGAGGCTTCATCTTTGTGTTGTTTTAATTATGTTCATTCACGAAAAAGAAAACTGGGAGTGTTTTTCCCGCCTTCGGTCACGACACTTTCCACCATGCTTTGATCACGTGCTGTAATGTATCCCGAGCCGGGTACATTGTTTATTAAATGTATCACGATCGGGATACATTTGATTTTATTCAAGGCCATGTGACCGAGAATCGGCCAATGGCTGTCCCTGTTTAGTTAAGTGATCGTCTAGGAATATAACAACTCAAGTTGTCGCAGTTTTCCGAGTTAGACAAACAGTAAGTGGGCACCCGAGAGGTCCTTTTCATCAAGGCCCCATTGCTGCCTTCACTAATAGTAATAATAGCAGTAGCAAATATAGAAAGAAAAGAAATAATATAACAATAATAATGCCAGAAGGCATTTGATTTGATAAGCGAAATGAATCTTAACAACTGAAATTTTCACTTTGACCTATTATTTGTAAGTTTAGTTAACACTCTTTAAGCCAGTTTAATTTTAGAACGTATACCGCTTTCATCAAGTCCCCGTAACCTTTCTATTTCTGCAATCACCTGAAGTCTTTGCTTTATCACCCTATTCATAGGGATGGAGGCCAGGGTTGGAATCTTTACCTGACATTGAACATTTGTCACTGCTAAGTAGCAAGCGCTTCTGCACGAGTCCGTTGAGAAAGTTGGAATGGGGAGGGAAAAAATGAAGGGGGAGGCAGAAATGGAAATCTAAAAATCAATCCAGAAATCAAAGATCACAAAAGTTGATCTGAACAGACTGAAGTGAAAATAAGCGATTTCAGTTTGCTATTGCGGCATGAGCTGCCTCTTAACTTCCTCTCCATCAAAATGCAACATTGAATACTTACATTAACAGATCGTTGTTTGGAATTGTGAATGCACGTGACCCTATACTCTCCAAAGGATTATCTGAAAGCATTCTGAAAAAGAAATACAAAATCAATCTCGATAGCATTCATTAAACTCTCGGTCTCGGTCGGGGAAAGGATCGAAGGGTTTTATTGTAGAACTCCAAGATAAAGAAACGGAACTGGTAGGAGAACAGTTGCCATTAGGTGTCAAGAATACATACATGTATTCTTGGTACACATTTTATTTATTCTTCTGTACACGTGGTGCCGTGAAGCAGCCGTGACTGCGTGTTCAGGCCGGAAATAAATGGAGAACACTAGTTTCAAAAATATGTGACTTGCCATAAAAGATAGTAACTCTGACAATAACTTGACATAAAAAGATGATAAATCTAACATACCTAAATCGCAATAAGATGATCAATCTTATGATGCAACATTAACCTAATTCGTCATTAGGAAATGACAAGTCTAATCTATCTACCTCGTAGAGATACCCACCTTGACAAAAGACGATGAAGTAGGAAAACATTACTTTGTAATATGTATACTTGAAAATACCAAATTTAGATGCTTACGGTGTAAGTCGTGAATAGTCTAACAAGAATCATTTTTTGGTAAAATTAGCTCATCGAATCAGATTTGTCTTAAAAATGACACAGTATTAAGCAAAAATTTATTGGTAGGACGTTGTTTCTCAGCTAAGAAACTGTGAATTTTCTAATATTTCGAAAAGGTTGTTTATCATATGACCAGTCAAGGAGATCAAGACATTTGCAAAACAAAACAAAAACTATTAGTTTCAGTGGTTACTGCTTGCTAGCAAAAATCATGCTCAATGACACCAAACAAGAGCCATAATATGGCTCTTGCATCAAGTAATAATTTCTCTCTTTAGCTCTTTCCTCATGCAAAAAATGTTTTGTTTTCGCAGTTTGGTGGTTCGACAATAGTTCTGACCTAATTTTTGTAAATGTTTAGAATATGTTGACAGTCGCGAACCCTTTAATTTCTTCAAACTAATTTAGCGAACATTCAAAGGTTCAAAGGTCTATAAAAGAAATCTAAAAATATGGTGTTGGTGAGTTGAGCCCACGCCCGAATCAACTGTAGTATACGGCTGCATCTCCGGCCCTTTTTACGCAAGGATGAGCGCGAAAGCAACGCTAATGTACTTGATATATATTCTAGCGGAACGGAGCGTCGGCGCGCGCAGCGGAGCCCCAGAAGCTCCCGTACGTACATTTATAGAACATGGGAACCTATCGAAACCAGAAAATTTGGTTTTGACGTCAGCGTATCCCCGAGCTCCCGAACACTCGTACAGACTCTGGGAGCAGTGATAAAAACTCAGTAGGTTAGGGAAGGGAGTCTCAGACATGTACGTTGGGTTCCTATTTGGCGCAAAATTAACGGTTTTAGGGGCAACCAACGGAGTTGCTGGAGTAAAAATATAGGCTGAAGTTTTTTTCTGTTCAGTAGCAGGACAACCCTCCCCCCCCCTCCCCCGCTTGGTCAAAATTTTGACAGGTGAATTTATAA